ACGGCGTCGTTCTTCTTCTTCACGACGTTGTTCTGCTTCTTCGCGTCGTCGACGCTCTTCTTCTTGTCGTGCGGCCTCTTCCCAGCCCTAAAAAAAGCTGCATATTATCGAAAACTAAGGTGTAATAGAGTTTTTTTGAAAGATGCATATGGAATAACCCCATTAAAATCCATATAAATTCGCAATTAAAGGTACACTAAAATCTCGATCAAAAAGTTTGTTCGCGTTAGGAAATTTGGGCTCTCTGCCGTAGCCGACCCAGCCCCGTCTTATCGCCTCTCCCCTTCCCGTCTCTCCCTTGGCCTAGTGGTCCAAGGCGCTGCCCCGAGCTGGCAGTCATGACTGCCAGCCCCCTTGCAGTCATGCAGGCACCGACGGCATGTGTCGATCCCCCCCATCAACAAATTGGCAAGTAGCCAACAGGGGAGAGAGGGCGCCCTGACGAGAGGCGCAAAGACATTTTCTTTCCAGCGCGTAACCGATTGACTATGTCGTCGGCATCCCTTTAAGCCGAAAAGACCTACCCTATCTGCCCAGTCTGGCGCGCTGACATTGTCCATCTTGTTGCGTTTGGTGGTCTTACCTGCAAAAATCGAATTAAGAAATGAGGAAAGTATTACGGTGGTTGATGACAGAAAATGGGGTGCTGGACTGTTAGCGGGGGGGGGGGGGCAGTTATAAGGTCAAGGGTGGTCGTTCAGCCTGGGGAGGAGTGGTCGAAAGGCTTGAAAAACAGCTCCGCCGCCGGGTTTTATAACATTTCCCCATGCCCCCGTTGCTAAGAATGCGGCCATGCTTTATCAGCAGCAGCATTATCTGGCCTGATAAATTTGGTAAGACTTGGCCCAGAGCCTGCCAGTGTCGAATGCGTATCGCCGCGTAGCAATGGCGGCTTATGGCCCTCCTGACCCTGATTGTCAAGCGTTCTTAGGGAACATTCTTGGCACTTTCCCTTTAAAGTTTCAGGAATTAGGGCGTATAATCAATAACGGAATTTCTTTAAGAATTTTCGCATAATACATATAAGTATCTGTATCCTAGATCTAAAACCTAAAAAAGCCGTCAAATTTTCATAATTGTAGGTTTGATGGTTTGCTTTATTTGGCTTACCGAGGCTAAATATTCTGGTACTGGGCTGTTAACGCGGGGGGGGGGGGTGTAGCAAGGGGAAACGAATTTTTCGAGCAGTGCCGCAAGGTCCTACGACAATAAATAAACCATTTTTATAGCATTTGATGCACTTTTAGATAGAAAAACTCGCAAAAGATCGTAAAAAGTTGACGTAATTTGTGACTTATAATGTATCAAACATGAACAAATAGGCAAAATTTTTTGCGAATATTTTGTACCTTTATTCATAAATGGAATTACTTATATTTATAAACAGGTCAAGTAGCAAATCCTAACTTATTTTCCGGGTGGAAAAGCTTCCAGGAAAAGTAGCAATTGATTTTGGTTCCATCAAAAAACCTCAGGGTTAAAAAAATCCAAGAATTTGATGGATCTAGTGGTATAAAAATAGAAATTACTAAAATAATGGGTGAATGTGTAAGCAATGTATTTCTTGTGGAGTATAATGGAACTTTTCATGCTCTCCTTGATTCTCGACCTCCCTTTCGAGCTCTTTTTTCAGGTCTTGACACTCGTCCACCCGACTTTTTGTTGCACTAGAAAACGACCGGTTGACTCATCGACGTTTCTCCTCTCTGCGTCTTTCGCCCTCTCCCATTCCCTCGATGTTCAAATACCATCCTCCCCGTGTTCCGTTGTTTGCCCGCGAATAGTCTTTGCAGGATGAGCAATGTTTTAAATACCGTATTGAGAGGAAACTTAATAGAGGTACGCGTCGTTACGCAGAACTGGCAAATAATGCGAGGATTTTTGGTAATATTTACGCATTTTTGGGTTGCAGGAATGGCCTTGTCATTGGGTAATTATGCAAATGTTGGTACTGGTCTGTTAGCAGGAGGTTTTCTAGCACGGGAAACCGATTTTTAACCCAGTTTTCGGGGATAAAAAGCATATGGAAAAATGTTAAATTTCCGAAAATGTTTGCCTTTTGTCAAAAATGTATGAAAAATAACCAAAAAAAGTAAAATTTTCAAAAATTCAATTTTTTTTGTAACTTTCCGCAATCAAGAATTACCAAAAACTTGATAAGATACATCATATATGCTCAACAGCTAGGTTTAGGTGAAAATACCAAAATCGGCCTCCCCCTGCTAAACCCCCCCCCCCCCCGGTAAAAATCCAGTACCAAAATTTTGATGTCGTCATTGATAAAAGCCTGGGACTCTCGAGGCGGCCAACAGCAACTGATAATCTATTAAATTCCAGAGGACAACTGTCAACGCACTTATACGAATGCACACGGAAAAATTACCCCGGGTTTTTGGAACGGAAACTGCGAAAAGGTTGACGAAGGATTTTGGGGACAAAAGGATTTTCAGCCCGAATGCCAACAAACTACAGGATGTCCCATAAAAAAGCACCGCTCCGGCATTTCGCCGTGTTACATCCGATCGGTCCGAAATTTGGACGAGAGGTGTATCAGACCCTAAATAACCACAATCCTGATTTATAGCCCGCCAGCTACAGTAATTTTCGAGATAGAACAAAAATAAACTTTCTTATCCGTTTTTCATATAGTTTTCGTCGAAATCGACCCTTCGAATATTAAGTGAAAATGATGCGGCAAGCCTGCTTTACCCCTAGAGATTTTTTCTGATAAAAATTAGTGAAATAACGATGGATTTCAACAATTTTTGTAAAGCAAGGTCACCCCCGATATTAAGCGAAATTAGGAATTCGCAGCCGGAAGTCGATGCAAATCAATGCAAAGTCCAAAAAGATAGCCGAAAAAAACTGTTAAGAACCGAGTAAAAAACAGTATCTTGACGATAACTCGAAAACTACTGTAGCGATCGGGCTATAACTCAGGATTGTGGTTATTTAGGGTCTGATACACCTCCGGTCCAATTTTGGGACTGTTGGGATGTAATACGGCGAAATGCCGCAGGGGTGCTTTTTTTTGGGACACCCTGTACTTACTACAAACTACAAAAATAAAACAAGCTACTTAAAATACCGACTGTAAGAACCGGGTTAGACTGCACTGTCGGCATTTCACGAAAAATTTACACATCCGACTTGTCATGGTCCCTTCAAATCAGTCGCACGCGCGCGCTCTCTCTCTCTCTCCCCCCGTCTTCTCTCTCTCTCTCGCCCGCTCTCACCCTCTCTCTCGCTCTCTCTCATCGCTCTGACGCTCACACCTCTCTCTCACTCCCATTCACTCTCTCTTTCCCTATCTTTCCCCATCTTTCCGCCGCTTTTACCCCGACCAACGTGTTTATACGTACACCCCACGAATCCAATTAATAAGAGTTAGACAGATGCTGTCGAAACTCTGGCTAACCGGGGTATCTGATAAAATGGAAAACAAGGGTCTATGATGAGACCGCAGACAAGATAAAGAGTTGTATGTGAGAAGAAAACCTGGACAGCTAATGATCGGAAGCAGTCGAGAGTTACAAGATAAAGTTGAAAAATAAGGTCTGGCTAGGACCGAAAAATTTGATGAAAAATGACTTAGTAAACGATTTTTGATAGCGCACCTTGAAAGCGTATATAAGCGGCTTTTGTCATCAATTTTTGTGGCTGTTTCTTGGCTTCATCTAACCCCAGAGCCACTTCAGAGCTTCGCCGTGTTCCTCGCACCGCAAAAGTTACGCACCTTGAGCGGCAGTGTTTGTTCTGCTAACTTTTTCGTGCCCCTCACCCACACATCGAGACCGGCCGGATAACGATCTCGATCCATTTAATAGTGCAAACTTTTGCATACGCCCCACTTGGAGGCAAAAGGAGGAATATTTTTCTCAAGGGTTGACTCATCTTGGGGCGCTTATCGCTTTCGTTACGCCAATCTGGAATCTGGGTTCGAGAATATAGCCTTGCGGAGCGATCACCGGAAATTAGAGGAATCCCGGGGTACCGATAAATACCTAGAAAAGTTATCGGAAATACTACTTCAGGTAAAATGAAAAAGTTAGTCCTCCCTCTTTCTCTCGCTCTCTCTGGCTCTCGCGCTCTCTCTGTCTCGCTCTTTCTCGCTCTCTCTCCTCTCTCTCTCTCTCTCTCTCTCTCTCTCTCGCTGTCTCTCTCGCCCTCTCTCTCCCTCTCTGTCTCTGTCTTTCTCTTGCTCTATCTGTCTCCTCTCTCTCTGTCTCTCTCTTTCTCTCTCTCTCTCTCTCTCTCTCTCTCTCTCTCTCTCTCTAATAAACATTTTAAATTTATGGTAGAACCTCTACTTTTTGTGGTTTTCACTCAATTTTTCAACGTTTTTGCGTTCAAAAATAGTAAAAACAGCAGCCGACTGGCTACCGTAATTTTTTAGATGTTCAAAAATAAACGTTTTCTCCGGGCTTTTCGAGGAATTTTGAACAGTGTATTTCAGATATTTTGAAGATTCTAATTTTTAGAAAACTGTTCGATGTCAAGAAGACCGAGCGACTTCAATCCAAAAATCGCTGCAAATCAAAGCGGCCACACCGAAAGACGTCGAAAAATCAAGAAAAACTGTTGAAAAACGATCGGAAGTAGATAAATTAAGATAACGATTCATTCATTGATCCTTCATTATTGACATTCCTACACTTGTAAGTTTGTTCATATGTTCAAGCTTGGTGTCAGAAATAAATTTTTATAGACAAATTTGCATACAATGTATTTGCATAGGCGACTTGCATAGATGTTCCTGGTTAGGAACTTAGCAGAAAAATGAACACTCAACTCCTGCTCCCACCCACCCATCCGGCACGATGCAGGACAAGAAGCTGGTCGCCGTGCTGACGGGCAGTGGCCCGATTCCAGGTACGAATTTTGCCTTGCCAGTCCTTTGAAAAAAGCATAGCTGTGGATTTTAGCGAACTAAAGTTAATGGCCGTACCTTACCAAGCCCTTTAAAAGTGCGTCCCTGCCCTATTTCATCTTTTCCAGGAATGAACTCTGCCATCCGGGCCGTCGTCCGCACCGGGTTGTTCGTCAACTGCCGCGTCTTCTACGTGTACGACGGGTTCCGCGGGCTTGTCGACAATCGCGTACAGGTCTGTTGTGCCTTCTAGGATGGCTAAATTCCGCGTTCCAGGAAGCCACCTGGGAGAGCGCGACGAGTTTGATCCAGAAGGGCGGCTCGGTGCTCGGTGTGGCGCCCTGCGACGAGTTCAAGACGCGCGAAGGAAGGCTAAAGGTGAGAGAGAGGGGAGAGAGAGAGATAGAGAGATAGAGATAGAGAGTGACTAAAACACCCAAAAAAGTTTTCAGGGCGCAAAAACCCTGGTCCTCCACGGCATCAACAATCTGATCGTCATCGGCGGCGGCGGGTCGATGGAGGCGCTGCAGACGTTCAAGGTGCGTATCTTAACGTAGCGCCATCAATCGGCTGAATACTTCAGCAAGAATGGCGCTCCCTTGTGCAAGAGCTGGTGAGCAAGGGCCTGGTGCCCGACAACATGGGCAGGCCGCTGCAGGACCTGGGCGTTTGTGGAATTCCGTGGTAAGCCAGCGCTTCCGTTTTCGCAGCACCAATTCCTGTTCAGCGCCGTCACCAACGACATCTGGGGCACGGAGATGACGCTCGGGGCCGACTCGGCGTTGACACGCGTCATCGACTCGGTCGACCACGTCGAGGCGTCGCTCAACTCGTCGCAGCGTGTCTTCATCGTTGAGGTGCGTGGCTGCAGCAATCACTGGTAGCCCAATTTCTAGGTACTCGGCAAGCACTGCGGCTTCTTGGCGATGACGGCCGGGTTGGCGGTGGAGGCCGACTTTGTGTTTGTGCCCGAGTGGCCGCCCGTGACGGAATGGCGCGAGGCGCTCACCGACAAGCTGCAACGCATGGCACTGGTACGTCTCCACGGGTTTTTTCAGGGTTAAGCGGCCCCTTCGGGCTTAAATATCTCGGCTCCCTGTTCATCTACAGGTGTGTAAAGTGTACAAAAATACTCGCCATAGCAATACGAACATTTTGGTATACTTTACACAGCTGTAGATGAACAGGGAACCGAGATACAAAAGTTGGGCGTTGGATGGAGGGGGGAGGTAAACTGCACTCTAACCCCCTTTCCAGCTGGGCCGCCACCTGAACATTATAATCGTTGCCGAGGGGGCTATGGACAATGATGGGTCCCCGATCAGCCCGTCAGTCATCAGCCGCCTCATCGAGACCACCCTCAAGGTATCGAATACCTTGTCACTAACTTCTACCTAATTTTAGTACCACTGCCAGGTGACCAGCCTGGGTCATCTCCAGTACGGCGGCGTCCCGACGGCGTTCGATCGTTGCCTTGGAGCGAGGATGGGTGCTGAGGCGCTGCTCGCGTGTGCTCAGGTATCAAAGAAACGCCAGAACTGATTCTTTGAACCCAACCTACAGCGTCGCGAGGATCAGAAGGGCGTGTTCGTCGCGTTGCGCGCTTCGCTCATCGAACGTGGCCACCTGGGGCGTGCCGTGGAGAAGACGCTCGAAGCCGAGAAGGCGTATAGGTGGGGTCCCTGTCACCGGGAAGCACTTCAACTTTTTAGGACCCGCGACTACGAGCGTTGCGTACAGCTTCGTGGCTCTCACTACAGCCAGAAGGGTCGCTTCCTCGATCAGGTGTCGTTCCCCCCTCGCGAGATCCTCGACGTCCCCGACCATACGTTTCTCGTCGTCCACTGTGGCAGCCCCACCGCTGGTAGGGCTCGTATCGGAATTTTGACATGTGTTGCGCAAGGCGTACAGTGGAGCGTCTCGTAGTTAAAAGATCGGGTACTGGACTGTTAGCGGGGGGATTCGAGCAGGGTGAAACTATTTTTTTCTGGACGACTAATATCTACGTTTCGATAATTAAAAAGCATTTTTATGGCGGTTTAATAGTTTTTAAGGTTCTGGACTGTTAGCGGGGGGGCCGGTTTTTGTTTTTCCACCCAATCCACCTGCTGATGATATAAAATGTATTTTCATAGCAATTTTCGTAGTTTTTGATTGCTAGAAAGTTACAAAGTTTTTTTAAGATTTTGACAATTCGAAATTCGTTTTTGGGTGCTTTTTCATAGATTTTTGACCAAAACTTCCAAATTTTCGAAATGTGAAATTTTTTGTGTGTTGTTTTAAATGGCGTCCAAAAAATTTAGCCCCCTCTTAACAACACAGTACCTAAAATCGTCGTCCAGGAATGAATGCGGCCACTCATGCCCTCGTCCGCGTCGCCCGCTACAACAATTGCCGCGTGATGGGCGTCAGCGGTGGTTTTCCCGGATTCGCCGAGGGCAATATCAAAGTACAGCTTACACTAGAGTGCGGCTTATTCAAATCAAATCGCGACTCAAACCGGTTTGATTTGAATAAGGGCGGTTTGAATAAGAATCTGCTTTTCAAATCAAACCGGTTTGGTTTGAATAAGGATCCGTTATTCAAACCAAACCGGGCAGGTTTGAGTTGGTTTGAATTGGTTTGAACAACAGGCAAATCAGCATGTTAATCGATTGGATGGATGCTAATCGGCTAAGTTTTCGAGGCATCCCTTATAAAACCTTGTGTGATCAATATAATGATGAAATTGGCATCATTTACGGGATCTATGCACTTTTTCAACGATAGGCTTGGCATTCACAACCTTTCACAAGCATCCAAATGGTCGGGATAACCTTGGCAGCGCTGAAAGAAACAGGTCTCGAAATGATCCGCTGGCCCCAAAAACCTGGCAGGAATGCTGCTGAACCACCCTAAAGTGAAGTCACAAAAGGATTGGTGCCAAAACGCAAAAATGGTGCCGAAAACAGACTGTTTCGGAGACTGGTCCTTATTCAAACCTTGTTCAATTCAAACCGGTTTGGTTTGGTCTCAGTTGGGAATTCTTATTCAAACCGGGTTTGGTTTGAATAAGGATCCCGTATTCAAATCAAACCGGTTTGATTTGAATATCGGAAATCTTATTCAAACCCGGTTTGAATAAGCCGCACTCTAGCTTACACCTTCTAACTTCTTGGCCCTTTTAAACCGCAAACTTTCAACGATTCAGACCCTTGAATGGGGCGATGTGATCGGCTGGGTGTCGGAGGGTGGGTCGGCGTTGGGCACGTCTCGGCAGCTCGTCTCCGACCCGGACCGCCTCGCCGCCCACGTGCTCCTCCACAACATCCGCGGCATCGCCATCATTGGTGGATTTGAGGTGTCGTATCTTGAACGCCTTGAAGATGCCGGGCGTACTTTCAGGCCTTCCAATCGGCGCTGATGATCCGCGACTGGCGCGACGAGTACGACTCTTTCCGCATTCCGATCGTCGTCGTCCCGGCTACCATCTCGTAGGGGTTTTTGGCCATTCTGATAAGCTAATGCTATGTCGAAATTAAAGCATAAGCTTAAATCCTGCGGTTAGAGTGCAGTTCTCCCCCCCCAGCCGGCCCCAACTTTTGTATCTCGGCTCCCTGTTCATCTACAGATGTGCAAAGTATACCAAAATGTTCGTCTTCCTCTGGCGAGTATTTTGGTATACTTTATACACCTGTAGATGAACAGGGAGCCGAGCTACAAAAGTTGGCTGCTGGCTGAGGGGGGTATCGGGAGTTTAGCCGATATTTCCGCTGTTTTCGAAAATTTTAAAGTCCGCCATTTTCTTGACCTTCCAGAAACAACGTGCCGGGCGTGGTGGAAAGCCTCGGCTCGGACACGGCCCTCAACGAGATTTGCCGCAACATTGACAACATCAAGCAGAGCGCCCGCGGCACCAAGAAACGGTAGTTTCCATGGCAATCCGCTGAAAACACTTTCACGTCTAGCGCGTTCATCGTCGAGGTGCAGGGCGAGAACTCGGGCTATCTGGCCACCATCGGAGCCATCGCCACCGGGGCCGACAATGCCCACATCTACGAAGAGAAGATGCGCCAAGAAGACCTGGCGGCTGACGTTGATGTGGGATGAAATTTTTCCGGCTTTGAGCCGATTTTTCCGCTTTTAGGAGGCTCGGCGCAAGCTGGAGCGCGGCTGTACGCACTACGTATTGTTGCGCACAAATGGCGCGCGCGCCGAGTTCAGCTCCGAGCAGGTGAAGCAGGTGTTCGAGCAGGCCGGCAAGGGAAAGGTGAGGAGAGAGTGAGAGAAAGAGAGAGAGATAGAGAGGGAGAGAGACAGGGAGTCAGAAAGAGAGAGAGAGAGAGAAAGAGAGAGCGAGAGAGAGAGAGAGAGAGAGAGAGAGAGAGAGAGACAGAGACAGAAAGCCAATGCTAATGCCATCAATTCAAGTTCTCGACACGGCTGAACTACTTGGGCCACTCGGTGCAGGGCGGCAAACCGAGCGCCTTTGACCGCAACTCGGGTATGGAAACGCGCTATGTGTGTCCACTGTAGCATCCCGTCCGTTGCAGCGTCCCGCTTCGGGGCCAAGGCGTTCGAGCGGATGTTCTCCCATTCCCGCCGCAACACCGCCGACATCGAGCTGCTCGGTGGGATTTTTGTAATAAATTAGTACATATTTTTAGGCGTCCGTTTCGGCGACCAGGCGTACGCTGACGTCGGCATGCTGGAGACGTTGGCCTGCTTTGTCCACACCAACGTCCGCAACCCTTGGTAGGATCGTTAAGGGTAGTGGAACACCTCCCCTTGCTTCAGGTGGCTGACCACCCACGGCTTGATGCGCGTGCTCGCCACCCAGGAGAAGTACATGGCCGAGGCAATCCCTCCGGTAAGAATTTCTTTTTGGGGATTGAAATTTTGGGACTGGGCTTTTATCGGGGGAGGGGGGGGTAGATTTTTAGCGGAGGTTGAAAAGCCTTCTTGTCTTTAACGTCATTTCCCCAGGAGCGCAGCTGCAACGCGAAGAACTACCAGACGTCGGCCGGCCAGCAGCCCGAGTTCATCGGCCGCTGAACAACACCCGGAAGCGCCCTCCGAACATTAAGCCCCGTTCCCCCCACCGCCTACTGTATTTTGATTCCGTTTCGTATTGTTCCCCCTTCGCCTCGACTCGCCGCTTGTGTTCTTTATTCATCTCCAAATCAAAGCTTTACTACCTGACGATTATGATCTGCCGTGGAATAAATGGAATTTTGGTGTTATGGCCAAAACCACCCAGATGAAGCCTAGACTTGTGCCTAAGCCTAAGCCAAGCCTATCGAGCAACTCCGCTTTATCGACTGGCCATATCGATGTGGCTTGACCCGACCGCCTTTTCGAGCAGTTTATTTGCCAATGCTGGGCATTCAGCAGCGGCCACCGGATGGATGACTGGATAGGAAAGGGGGGAGAGGGCAAAGGCTCTTCATCGCTCTCTCTCCCTCTCTCTCTCTCTACTCTCTCTCTATCTCTCTCTTTCTCCCGCTCTCTCTCCTTTTTTATCCTTTCTCATTAGGCCTCCAGAAAGCCAGGCTTCACATCATCCTCATCCCCACGGGCCCGGGGTCCAGGCCCCCGCCCCAGCTGCGGCTCCGTTGATGATTATTGCATTCCCCTTTTGTTTCTGACTTTTTTCAGGAAAAATTGACTTTAGGGCGTTTTAAAGGGACTGTGACAGCGAGTTTAGCCTCAAAATTGATTGTTTCTGCCGTAAATTCATGGAAAATCCATAAAAATCCAACCCTTCGATGCCTTGCCCGTCCCTTTAAAAGCCTCCCAAATGGTCTATGCCAGCTGTATGCCCCTAGCGAGAATGTGGGCGTATATTTTGTCTTGTATCCATTGGGGGAATATCTGGCTGCCATCCCATTCCATCCATATCCCCAGCCACAACACCATCCACGAGCCGTTTGACGGATTGGTCCCCTTCCCCAGCCTTTCGCCCTTTGCATTCTATTTGGTGACCATATTCGACCGAGATCTACGTATATTCCCTTCTATTCGGTCGCTTCTTCTCCAAAATGCACCCCCGTAGTCCGACCCCGGTCCGCTATCGGAGACTAGCGCGGCGCAGTTCGTCGACGTTAGCCATTTGTGGTGAGTATTGGGGTGGAATTAGAGTTTTGGCGTTTTTCCAAAAATCCGAACAGTCAAAATCCCGACATCCATAATACCGACAGCTATAAACCCGAAAACCATAATCCCGTCAGGAAAAATCCAGTTGTCCGTAATCCCGACATATTCGTGGCCTAAATCACCCTCTCTCTCTCTCTCTCTCTCTCTCTCTCTCTCTCTCTCTCTCTCTCTCTCTCTCGTTCTCTCTCTTGCGTTGGCGTTTTTCGATTCTGATATGGTTTTTGCTAATTTTTTTTCGCAACATCCCGTGAAGCGCGGCGCGTGCGTTGCTTATCGCGCTCTCTGTAAAATTCCTTCGTAGAGAATTTCGAGTCAAAAAAATTTATGTAAGTTGTTTTACGTCTTCTTAAAGGTCCCGGCAAGGCAATCTTTTGTCCAGGAGGGTTCGTAATTCACCGCGACGCGTCCACGACACATAAGCCACGCGTCGCGTGCCCGCCTTTCCATTTTGTAATGGATTTCGTGCTTTTCTAAGAGTTAAAACATAGCGTGCGCATTGTGTACCGCGGCTCCGACAAATAAATTGTAAAATTAGGGGCAGAAATTTACAATTCTGCTTTGCTTTTCTTTTTAAAGGAGTGTTGAAGGGTAGCTTATGGACCACTAAAAGATCTCTTTAATATGCATACGGACGAGGTGATTAGATGAATTCGATTACGAGCGAGCCAGAGTCGATTCTAGCCTCCCGTCCCTCTCCCTCTGCCCCTCCGGCTTCATCAATTATTTGCAGAGGTCGTCGAAGCCGTGGAAAGGCAGCTCAATGCCCCAAACGCGAGAAGGCACACCACCATTGTTAGTTCAACCCTTTTTTGGGCTTGTTTTTGGGGTATACCGGGTTTTTTTTTAGGGCTTTTCGGCTTCCAGAAATTTTTGTTGTTATTTAGCTCGTCAATTAGCGAATTAGGGTGTGCTAAATTGCGTCCTTTTTGCCCGTTTTTCAAGTTGTTTTTTGCGGTTTTTCTAGGCAGTTTTCCAACCTTCAAGGAATTCCCCAGGGGGAAAAGCCCGCCAAAAAGTGAACGCGTTATCGGTTGACCGCCTAATGCGAGCTTTTGCCCGGGCGGGCCACTGGCTGGGCAAAGTTCTCTTCGAGGGTTTCGGGCTTTTTTAGCGTCTTTTCGAGGTGGGCCCTTATCTACACAGTGCACAAATAAGGGCAGCTTTCAAATCGCAGCGGGAAACCCTCGAAAAATTTGGCCATTTGACTTTTGGAGTTGAATTGATTTTATGATTTTAGGAAGCCTAGGCTTAAGCCGAAGTCAAGCCGAAGCCAAGCCGAAGCTGAAGCAAAGCCGAAGCTGAAGCCTAAGCCTAAGAGCGCCTTTAAATCAGTCTAATGTTTTTTTGCTTACTCATACGGCACTGTAAACTTAAAAATTGACACGTTGATGTCTTAAAAGCTTCAAACAATTTCAATACTCAAAAATTGACATAATTCCGTTCTAAATTCCGCTCATGAGCTTTGGGCCGCTTGGCCCCTCCGGTGGGCCCTAAAAAAATGCCCGAGGGACACGAGACAGCAGCATAATGTGCTCTTGCTCCCTCTCTCTCTCTCTCTCTCTCTCTCTCGCCGTTCCAATGTCCCCCCGTCACTCTCACTGGGCCATCCATTCCCCCTCTAACAAATCGAGACCCACAAAAAGCAAGCTGTCCGCCACACAAGATATTTGTTCTCTGTTTTTCGGGGTTTTGCCATCCGGATCGGATATTCCGGTTTCGGGTAATGTGATAGCCCACATCAAGGTATGGGTGTTTTTATGGGCATAATTTTTCGTTGCAACGAATTTTTATTCCGAAATTTTTAGGATTTGACCGAGTTGACTAGTTGAGGCGATCGTGTTTTATCGTATATTTTATCTAAACAATAAGAAGACTGATAATAATACTACGATAATGCAATAAAACGAACCTTATTTATTTGCTTTGTTAGTTTACCACCCTAGCTACCTAACTGTACTGGATCAAAAAAAATACAAAAAATAATTTTTTTTTGATCCATTTATCCGATTTTTTGACGTTTTTAAGCGTTTTAGATGGTTTCGCGCTTCAAATATAGTTAAATTTACTAAAGACGTCACTGCACTTCTCGACATTTCCAAAAAAATTCAGTTTGCACCCTCTCCCTGATAATGGAACAGATCCGGCTCGCCGACGTCGTCGTCGCGTAGTGTGTCGCGGTCGCGGCCAAATCCGTAGCAAAAATTTAGGAAAATCTGTAGCCAATTCACCTACCCCATTCCGGGCTATCATTCCAAAAGACCATAAAGGCTATCAGATGGTGTCGCCCATCGAGGAAACGGCTACAAAAAATGCCCACCCCCTCCCCTCCGAAATCGGCGCCCCGGTAACCAGATAATTATGGAGGCCACCGACCAGCAGACAGCGCCCTTTCTCAGGCCATTCCGATTTTTGGATAATTTATGGCCTTCCAGAGTTCCGCAATGATCTCTGCTAACCTGCCCAATGTTGGTTTCGGTGCAAATTAACATTTGCAAAAAAACCTTTAGAATTGAAGCTTTATGGGCCAGCAATTTTGACGTTATTTCTGACCTTAGGCCTTGAAATCTAAAGAGAATATAGTGAGAGAGAGAGCGAGAGAGAGAGAGAGAGAGAGAGAGAGAGAGAAAAAAAAGGGGAGAAAGTGAGAGAGCGAGGTGGTAGATAACAAAAAACATAACAATCTGAACTCTATTGCTCCCACAATATTTTGAAACAAGCTGTTTTTAGCGGTATTTTTCTCAGTTTCGGCTTTGTTTTCAAGGTTTTTATACATAGTCTATTTCTCGCCATCGGTCTCGTTCCACCTTTTCAGTCCGGGAATACGCATGTGAAAATAGCTTCCTTAACCAATTTTTAAGATTATTTTTGCCGCTTGACCGAGAAAACTGATCGGAATGCTCCCAAAAACTCCCATTTTTTTAAAGATTAAAATCCTTTTTAAACCAATTTTTGCAAAATTCAAGACAAAAATCTATTTTTCTGCATTCGTCGTGCTCCACCTTATCAACTCGCAAAAAGCGCAACGTGCAAACGTTGCGTGATGTGTCACCGTCCATTTCATGTGCTATTCATACCGTAGTATCCCGGATGGATGACTCGGCTTCTTAAGGCTCGGTTGATACCGAGGTGTTTGTGAGGCGGCAGTCATTTTTGCTTTCTGCGCCGTCCATGCCTTGGTTTTAAAGGGATGGGGAAGGCAGAAATTTTTTTTTTGGGTTGCGCTTATTTTTTATTCTTCTTAAACATCAACTCTTGTAAGAAATATACAAATTAGTACTGATTTTTTAGCAAAATTTTCGGTGGATTTGCCGCCTGCGACACGCAACGCTACGTCCGCCTTTCCTTGCGTAATAGACTGCCCCTCTACGCTTTTTCCGTAATCGCTCTACGCCTTGCGTAATGAACCTGCTCGCGTTGCGTGTCGCGGTAGCAAATCTCTAGCTATTTTTTTGCTTGCCACACCTTCAAGGCTTCCTACTAATTCGTGATATCGCTATCGCGAGATCGCGCTCTCAAAATCCAATTTTTGTAGATGTCCTTGCCGCCGACGCCCGGCACCCGGCGAACTCCGAGGGGCAGAAGAAGCTCATCGCTCGTCGATTTGTCTGGTGTGGCTTGGTGGCCTTTCATTAATGCTTGATCCCTATCCGAAAATATTTGAACTCACCTTTCAGAAGTGACCGGTCCGTCTTCAGAGGCATCCTGGCCGTCAAGTGATGAGAAGGGCGGTGGGTCGGGCGGATCGGAAGCCGTATCACCCACCACTGGACGACCGACTTCTTGTCTGCCATGGTAGGGTGTTTGTTACGAATTGATTTATTTTCTGACATAATTATTACTTTCCCTTTCACCTGTAAGCCTAGGAAAAGCTCTGAAAACTTCATTTTAGTCCGTAT